CTGGGGAATTCTGGGAGTTGAAGTCCACCCATCTTAGAGTTGCCGACGTTGAGAAACACTGTCCTAGAGACATTTTCTAGCAAGAGGCCTGTGGGGAGGCGATGGTTTCCTTTCCCTCTCCTTGTGGCGCCCTGGATTTTGCACGGACCAAGAGGAGGAATTGGCACCGTTCGCACCCTGACCTCTGCATCGCACCCAGGCCCCCTTCCCTCCTCAGCAGGCCATCTTTCCCCCCAAGAGAGAAACTCCCCCAATTCAATCAGCCTCACCAGAGCCCGGGGTGGCAGCAGAGGGCGGAGGCCTCTGTGCCAGGGGGTGAAGCTGCCACACCGACAGCTGCCTGCCAACCTGGGCCCCCAAGACGAGCCGCTTACCCTCCTGCTCCTGCCTGCCCCATCCCGCGCAATTCCTCTGCCCAGACAAGACCGTTACGCAGAAATGCGCGGCAGCAATTGCACCAGATTGCTTGAACCGGGTGCGCCCACCAGCCCCGGCCAGCACGGAGGTTCGGATTTCCAGCGTCGAAGGTGCCCTCCTGCTGCGCAAAGCCCCGCCAAACTCCTCCTGCCCCTTGCCAACCGAGGCAGATTAGCAAGAGAGCAGCCATGCCCAGAAAGGGCAGCGGGGAGGCCCCCACGCTCAATCAGGGGCCCTCGTGCATCGTCACGTTGCACGGGAAATGACCCCTGCAAACCATCTCCAGGAGACGGTCAAGGTCCGGATCCCCCCGCGGCTTCGCCCCAAAGCGGTGTTGGTTCCCATGCCCCGAGAGCTCTCGAGGACTGGGGTTGCAGCTCCAGAAGGGAACCGTCTCCCCACCACCTCCAAGGAACACCCGCAAATCCAGGTAGTGGAGAGAAACGCGTTTGCTCAAGGCGGAGACACGGAAGTCGCCCTACCTTGCCTTTTTACCGGCATCTTGCAAAGGCCCTTAGCGCAGGGAGAGCGCTAATCTCTTAATCTCTCCCCCAAACAGCTGCCGGCTTAAAAGATTTGTAGGGCTGACCTCCATCCGCTCCCCAAAAGCATTCTGGGGGATGTGGGATCGCTCGCTCTACCCAAGCAGCCAAATTCCCGGGGCCGGAATAAAGTTTCACCAAACTTCTGGAGACCGAGGATCACTTTTCCAAGCCCTTTCTGGCTTTCAAAATTCAAGAACAAACATCGCTTTTAGAAATCGCAATGAACGAAGCAGTGGGGTGGGAGAGCGTCTGATTCTGAACGCTTTTAATAAAGTTCTCTTCATCGGACGGTACTTGCAATTAGGAATCTTGTCAATAATCAAGTGCAACCTGAAAAAAAGACCTGGAGCTTTGCTCTAGAAATCTCATTTTCTCCCTATTTATTGCCATTTAATTTATCCCACACGAATTAAAATATTTAAGTTTTCCACTTTGTAATTCCTGTGTAGAAACAATGTTTATGGTCTAGTTTTGATAAGCTTACAAACTGAATTAATTTTATACCAACACCTATGGACACTATATAGACTTTTTCTCCTTTTTGTTCATTTTTCTTTTATTCATATTTAGTTTATCTCCATCACTATAACATATATAGGGTTTTTTTTTTCTTCCAACGTATAACTACCATTTGTCTTTTTTTTTTCCCCCCCTGCTGGCTTTCTGGCTTTTGTGCTTGCTATTAAAAACAAAATTTTAAAAAGGAAAAGGAAAAATAATGAGGCAAACAGGTATCCACAATCTTTTAAAAAAGAGGTAAGAACTGGTAATTGCTCTCTGCCACATTTTTAAGTTCAGTTCCCACGGTATGCCTCATAGATGATCAAGTAGATTGGAATTATTACTATTACTATTATTATTACTATTTCACAGCAATTGTCCAGAGGGCTGCACATGTTTTTCTCTGCTGTAAACAGGCTCAGAATCTCACTTTTCTCTCCCCCCCTTTGGAAAGATGTGCGACTCGAGACAGCTGCCTTCACCAGGTGCTGCTTCCACATTTCCAATCTGCTGCATCACATGGCAATAATTTCAAAATCACTTGCGCTGCGGGGGGCACCATCCTGGCACACTCCTCCTCCCTCCCACGCGCCATCAATTATGCCCCATCCTCACACCAGATATTGGATAAAACCATTTAATAGTAACTCTCAGAAAGTACAACACAACAGCGGGGACTGCAAAAGCAACTGGACGGCTGAATGTCCAGGGAGCCTGTGACCGCTGGCACCTGGAAGGCCAACGGCGACATTTCCCTCGCCGGAAGGGTCTCAAAAACGGGGACGTCTGCGGACGACGTTAAGGCTTTTGGAGAACAACAAGGCCTCTCTTTCCAAAAATGGCGCCCCATCTTCTAGCGCAGGCAGGGGAATGAGCCCTGAACGCTGGGGGTCTCAGAAACCCAGGGCGTAGGGGGAGACCACCCCTCCGTTCTCCACCAATGCTTTGGAGATGACCCGAAGGTTCTTGAAGAGCTGCTGGGAGGAGCTGGACTGGAGGGACGTCAGGTTCTGGGCGACTCGCTCGTAGGCCTGAGCAGGAGACAAGGACAGCTGAGAAACCCACCCCAAGGAAGTTGGGGCTCGAAAAACAGGAACGAGAAGATGCCAGGAGAGAGGAGCTCAGGAGGAGCAGAGCTGACAACGGCGCAGGGCCACGCGCACCTCCCGACACGAAGGCGGGGTGCCGCTGAGAAAATCGCTTTTAGTTATTCATTTGTAATTGATTTTGCTCCAGATGAAGGAAGGTTTATTTAATTCCAATTATTTATATACTGCTTTTCCATTAGCCTATCTGAGAACGTGGCTAATGAAAAAGCTCCACTCTCTCACTGCAGGCTAACCCAATTACCTCAGCTTTCTTTCCTGTCACTTATACATGATCAAATTTAGCTCTCGGCAATAAAGAGGATTTTACATTACCAGGAGCTGTACCTCATCGTTCCTGGATTACATCCCCTTAGGAAAAGGGATCCAGTTTGGCTCTCGCAGTTTCTCTTGAGTTCGTGTTCCCTTGAAAATCATCCTGACCTTTCTTAAGAAAAAACCCGCCAAACTTTGCTCCTGTTTTCCATCTACCAAGGAGCTGAAGGATGGAGAAAATTCCAAGGGACAGTCAGATTTTGTATTTCAAATTTGGGAATGCAACCGGGGTTTGCTTCTTTCTTTGACTCAGCAGACTTCAACCCGATGGAGCCAAATTTGACCACTTCTAGGCTGGTCCCGGTTTCAGCCAAGACCGTAATTAAATGAAGATTTGTGGCTGGAACATTTAATAATCTAACACGTAATAATACTTCCATGAATGAGAGCCTATGCGTTGCAATGAAGATGTGTGGTTTCGTCTTTCCTTAAGCCCAAAAGCCAGCTGGGGGACGCTGGGGCAACCCTCCTCTTTCAGCCCAGCCCACCTCACAAGGTCGTTGGGGGGAAAACTGGAGGTGGGAGCATTACGCAAAATGGCTTGAGTTGTATAAAACAAAGGTGGGATATAAATTTAATAATAATCAATCTCCCCCCCCTTTTGCTGCAGAACGTTTCTCAAAATTTTGCACATTAATTGGCCTGATGAAAACATTTCATTAAGGTGGATTCCTGGCATTGTTGTTTTAGGGCCAAGACGGCTCCTTCTGACTTTGCAAAGATGGCCAGCCGACTTTCCAACTCCTTTTTGACAGCGCTCAGAGCGAGAAAGGTTTTTCCTCTCGAACAGCATCTGTGCACAATGTTCCAAAGACTTCATAAGTCATTCTGGATGCATTAAGGAGCAGGTCATTTATAGAGGCCCTGAGAACCTCAGAGAGCCAGACACACTTCGACTTGGTTTGGGCAGAAATCCTCCCAATTTGGGAGTGATCAAGGACCCCAAGGCTGAAGGTTCCTAGAAAGGGGTTTTGGAAGGAAGAGCTGGACAAGGGATCTCAACAGCTTCCTGGCTGTGGCTTCTGCGCCTCCATTTCTGCTCTCATTTGCTTTACAAAAGTCTCTTAATTTCTCAACAGACTCCAGCGGCCATGGCCGTGCATTTTTGGTACTAACCACCAACCTTTGCAACTGATTTTCCTGCATATCCTTTTCCTATTAACTCTCCGCTCTCTTTCTTTCTCTGTCCTGTGCCAAATCTTAAGACTGTGGATCATGTGGGGTGAGTCTGGGACTCTCGTACTTTTATAAAGTACCATGTGCCCTGATGACACTAGAACAGTGTTCCTCAACCTTGGGAACTTTAAGATGGGTGGACTTCAATTCCCAGAATTCCATGGCTGCCTGGGGAATTCTGGGAGTTGAAGTCCACCCATCTTAAAGTTCCCAAGGTTGAGGAACGCTGCTCTAAAGGAAGAAACAAGAGTTACATTTCGCTGCTTTTCTCCATTCTACTCACTCCAAACTCCCTTAGGTTATGCACCTCGAGATACTGAACCCCCCCCAAGAAGATTTACCTCCATGCACCAGGTCTCGCAAAGCACCTTCTCGTGCTCAGCAGTAGCTTGACCCTGTTCCAGGGACCGCGATGCTCTATCAGGATGAGAAAGAGGGGAGCAACGTCAGTTGGGTGTTTTTGGAAGGGCAAGAGAATTACAGGGTGGGGGGATTCGGGAGGGAGTCGCTTAATCAGAGATTTTTAGCTGGACTAGAAATAACCACAGGAGTTGAGAGTTCTGATTCATTTGCTCTCCGTGGGAAAAGCGGTCCAGAATTTCTTAAAATTGCCCACTGGGTCTGCCACAGAGGTCTCCCTTCTCGCATCCCCTATTGAACCTTTCCTCTCTAATTTTTAGCTCCACCGTAAGAGAGGAAAGGAAAATGGCCTGGGGGCGAAGGCTCACCTGGACAGAACGACCACCATGGCGTAGATATCAATTGCGCTGTCAGCAATGCGCTTCAGCATAAACTGTTCGTCTGGAATTTGGGGGGGAGAGGAGGGAAAAAGAGGGTTAGGAAAGCAAAAACTGAAATCTTGGGAAGGATGCAGACAGAAGCGGGATCAGAAATATTCTTATTCCAGCTTCTAACTGTGGCCTACTGGAATCCTTGTGTGACCCTTGTCTCCAAGAGTTGGAAATTGGGGATGGCTGGCCATGAAGAAGGAGATTCCCTTTAGATATCACAACGGTGGACAAAAGGAACCGCGCAAGTAGTAGGTAACACCAGAAACCTTTCAGTGCAAAGCAGGATGCTCGCAGCCCGGTTTCTAGATTAATTCCTCCCCTGCTCTCATCACAGGAATTAAGCTTCTAACGTTCCTCTTGAGATTGAGAAATAAAATACCCAAAACTTCACAAAACAAAGACGTGAATATTGGGGAGAGCAGAGGTTTGTCTTTCCAGCCCCCTTGACAAGAAACCCACCGTGGCACCACCCCATCGAGGCCCCCAAACTTACCAATGACCTTCTTCCCGTGTTTGAGAAGCTGCTCCTCGATGACGCCCGCAAAGAGGTCAACTGCTCGGACAGTCTGGAGAGGGGAGAGGGGAGGCGACCCGGGAGGTGAAAGGGGGTGGGTGACCACCACGAGAGAAATGCAGGCCCCTCCTGAGACCAGCTCCAGATTTGAATGCACACTCCCAGGGGTGTGCAAACCTGCTGCCTTGGCATTAAACTGCCCTGGGCCAACTTTTCTGCAACTTGATCCCTCCAGATGGGTGAACTACAATTCCCATGGGGCTTGAGAAGCCTGGGGGTTGTAGTCCAACAGATCGGAAGGCACCCGGCATGGGAGAAGCTACCTTAGACCCAAGGTTCATCCCAAACTGTCTCTTTCCTTGGATTAAAAATAACCAACATCATTTCCCTCAATAAGACAAACGAAGTGACTGTTCGGTTTTCTTAAACGCTCCACTGCCGATCTGTGTGTGTTAAAAAGCAGGAGAGACTTTTCTTTTTCAGGAAAACAAACACATTCCAGTAATAAACGAAGCCAGCGGAAGGAGGAGGGAAGGGCAGAACCGATGCGGGGAAAAATAAAGCAGGGCAGTTTCTGACATTTTGAGAGAAAAAATGCAGAATTCTCCAGTTGGAACCAAGCAAGCGGAGGGTTGCCCCTTCTGCCCAGACATCCGCGCTCACCACCACTGGGTTGGCACCGTAAACTAAGCCACGTTTTCCTTTCACTCTGTTCGTTGAATAAGGACCGAGCGTCCATGCTGATAAACTGCTGGCTTCTTCCCACGACATCCTAGCCCAGGACCTGCTGGTGCCCAGTTTCCCCTCCCAACGAGACAAAGACCCCCGTTGCTCCGCGTGGAGATCCAGGCAGACTCACCTGCTCACTGCTGGACTCCAAACTTGGGTGCGCCACACCTTTCAGGGTAATCCCTGTCCCCAAGCCTGCTCTCCTGAGGAGGGGGAGACAAAGGGGGTGAGAAGCAGCTCCAGAATTCTCTTCCCCCTCCCCAGCCCAGCCCCAGCATTCCTACCAAGCCCACCCTAAAAATACCGAGGAGCAGAGAGGCTCACACAACGGGCCCTGAAATGCGCAGACAAACAGATGACCCAAGGGGAAAGCGGGAGAGAGATGGATGGACTCATTCATTCACAAAACGAGGCAGAAAGACCCCCCTCTCTTCGACGGGGGCTCCGGATCGGATGGCAAAAATGACCACCGCTCACGGCACAGGACGAGTGGAAGAAAACAACCCAGCCCGTTTTGTCGTGCAACAGAGAACTCACTGCCAAAAAGTGAAGGCTGTTCTTCCAGGTGGCTTAAAACAGAACAAAAAAAAGACAGACAGACTTGCTAGAGAAAGCCCGGGTCTGTTAGCAACAGTAACTATGTGGAGAGCCTCCAGTATCAGAGGCAGTCCACCTTCCAGAACAGATGCATTTGCTTCCTCTATGACATCCTTGCGGTGTAGAAGTTTCCTGGAGTTGTCTAATGCAGAAAGAGGCCTGATTTGCTCGTGACCCCACAGCCTGTGTTCCTTTTGGGTCTAGGGCAGTGTTTCTCAACCTTGGCCTCTTGAAGAGGTGTGGACCTCAACTCCCAGAATTCCCCAGCACAGCACAGAATTCTGGGAGTTGAAGTCCACACCTCTTCAAGAGGCCAAGGTTGAGAAACAGTGGCTTAGGATGATCTGCAAACCCAGCCACAATGGCTTGTTCAACATCCTGGCTTAGCTTTAGGCATGAATCACCCCACTGGTGACGCTACAACCGTCAGCATTCCTCCCACTCCCTCTCTTTAAAATTCCAGGAAGCATAAAAACCCACCACCTTCCCCAGCTACAGAAGGTGGAATCCGCCCCCAGCCTGACAAGGGAATGCAGGCAGGGGGAACCCATCTCTCTTCTCCCCGGGAGGGCAGATCCGTACCTGCGCACCCGCTTGCCGGCCTCGCTGACCAAGAGCCCAGCGTTCCCAAAGGGGTTCTTGATGGCCTGCTGCAAACCACGGAGCTGATTCCCTGCGTTCTGGACCGGAGAGAAGAAACGGCGTCAGAGAGAAGGGTCAGACCAGACGGGAAACATGGCCAGATAAGCTAATTCTACTTTATCATAAAGCTACACGAACAGGACCTTGCAAGTCTGAAAGTACAATTCTCCCGCCGTCTCTTTTACCACCTAGGAAACTAGGGAGCCTCTTTCTCCGTCCCTTATGCAGCTGTGGGCTATTCCCTCTCTTATCTGACTATTCCCTAGGCAGCATCTCTTCCCCCCCATCTCTCAAGGTCTTTCCCACATACCATTACAAGAAAGGAAATGGCCTGGATCCCCCCAGCGCAGAGCTTTCCTTGCTCCCAAAAGAGCTAACGGGAGGCCACCCTGACCCCCCCCCCTTGCCACCTTTCTGGATCAGCATCCCTACAGCTCCCTTGCCCACCCATCAGGATCCGCCTCCAGCTTTTTTCAGCTCCCCCAAACCTCTCCCCACACTGCCTGTTCCTCCAGCAACCCACCTGAAATCCGTAGAGGGCAATGAAAAGCCGCAAGATATCGTTGGTGCCCTCGAAGATCCGGAAGATGCGCAAATCGCGCATCACTTGCTCCACCCCGGCTTCCTGAGGCCGAGAAAGCAGGCGGAAGGGGGGTGGGAGAGAGAGAGAAGCAAAGCTGATCAATGCCAGAAGGGTTTTGCCAAGGGGTGATGCCTCTGCAGTCAGGAGCCACAATCTGGGACCTGCGCAAAATGCGATGGTCTCCCACCCAGGAAGTCACCGTCAAGCATTGGCACACAAGCTATAAGAGCTAATGAATGTTTGGTTCTCACACCGATGAAGGTTCAGGAAGCAATTACGTAAACAGACGTTTACAAACTTCCCCGTTGTCAGCGAAGAGACCTGCCTTCTCACCGGTTCAACAGAAAACCATTAGAAAGAAAATTAAAGCCCAGCCCTAAAGAACAGGAAACATAGTCGGTGGTTCTAAAGGGGAAACGGATCAGGTGCTGGCGCTCTTATCTCCCTGTGCCACGCTCCTCAGCCAATGTCGCTAAAAAGGACTTGATAGGAATCAGGCATGGAAAACATCGTTTTTGGTTTTCGGCAGCAGCCAAAAGGTCTGAAGTGAACCTGGAATCAGGCGCCCCTAATGCTGCTGGAAATGGGAGAGGGGTGGATGCTGGTCCCCCATAAACTGACCTTCATGAATCCCATTCCACCCATGGTCTGGATGCATTCATCTGAAACCGTCCAGGCAGCTTCCTGAGCAGGGGGAAAAAATACAGACAAAAACAACACCGACTTAGCGTTCCGGTCTGGAAACGGACAGACGGCTGCGCGTTTTCAGTTGCCAGCAGCACAGGGTTCCAGTGCAAGCCAGAGTGGGACGGCTGCATTTGCGGTGGACGCAAACGGCATCGGGCGGGTCAGCTGCACGTTGGCATCGTCCCCCTTCCTGGCCTGCAGGCACCTGCAAGAGGCCCCGTGGCAAAGGGAGGCTCTGCGTGCGAAGCAAGTCGCTTGTTTTACAGCCCCCCGCCCCAGCCAGCACTCACCGAGCCAAAGACTTTGCTGATGGCCGCCTCGATCTGGAAGTCCGAAGCCCCCCGGTCCATGTTTGCACTGATCATGTACGCCATCGACTGCAGAGAGGAAGCACCGAGGGTCTTTCAGGAAGGTCAGGAAGGTCTTTTACATTATTATACTTTAGTCCAGGGTTTCTCAACCTTGGCAAGTTTAAGATGTGTGGACTTCAACTCCCAGAATTCCCCAGCCAGCCATGGGGGATTCTGGGAGTTGAAGTCCACACAAAACAGTCTTTTCTTTGGATCTGTCTCAGTGATTTGCTTTGGGAGAAACCATGTTCCTAGTCCTTGTGGCTGCAAAGTTAGATGGGAATGCCACAGGTCTGAGAAGTGACGCTTTGGCGCCACGCTGATCGGCACACACGCCTTCCCTTTCCCACTCCTTCACCTCTGTCACGTAGTGCAGCATGGCCATGCGAGCCAGCTTCTCCTGGATCACACCAAACTTATGGATCTTTTCCGCAAACTGGGTTCGGTTGGCCGCAAAGTCCACCTTTGGGATGGCAAGGAACACGGGAGGGAGATTCAGAAGGGGAGGGAGCAGAGGGGAGGCCCAAGCAGACGCATCCCGAACAACACCTTCAAGGGGGCATCTGAAGGCAAGGCGGGGGCTGCAATTGTGCCCCAAAGTCACTCACCGCCTTGCCAATTAGAGCCCGCATGGTGCCAGCCAACGCAGCTGCCATGCCAAATCGCCCGTTGTTGAGGATGTTCATGGCCACCTTGAACCCAGCCCCAGGCGTCCCCAGAACGTTCTCTGCCGGGACGCGGACTCCGTCAAAGTAGACTTCGGCCGTGTTGGATGCCTTGATGCCCATCTTCTTCTCAGGGGGGCCGCTGGAGGGGCACAAGGGGAATCAGAAATCCCAGAAGACACCTGGGGGGGCTTCTCTGCCTGCCCTACACCACGCCCTGCAAATCTGCCACCCCAGCTCAAGAGGGGGCTAGCAGCTTCTCCCAAAGGGGGACCCCAAAGAAACTCCTTCAGGTAAAACGTGACCTGAACTAAAATGGCTAGATGTCGGGGGGCGGTCCTCAGCTGCTCACCTGGTGACCCCCTTGAAAGATCGCTCCACGATGAAGGCCGTTATCTTGTCCTTCATTGCGCCCGTCTCATCTTTCTGCGGTGTTTTGGCAAACACGGTAAATACGTCAGCAATGCCACCGTTGCTGTGAGAAAATGCAGAGCTTTAGGACCCTCACTCAGGACCCCGCAGGGCAGACCCCCCCCACTGCAGAACCCCCCCCAGCAAGGTCCAGCTGGAGCCCAGAGAGGTTCCCTTAATCATTCCTGCCATTTTGTTCTTGCTTTAATGCATGCTTTCAGATGTCCTCCCTCTAGTATTTTATTTTATTCCTTGTTTGTATACTGTTTGCAGGGCGGTGATCATCAGTGCGTTCAAAACCAAACCAAAGGATAAACGTAAACGCTCTCCCCCAAATTTGCCTCAGTTGTACGTGCAAATGAACAGAGTCAGAAAAGATCTGAATCAGCTGATCAGACTAGCAGAATATGGGGAAACTGAGGCAGAACGGTTCCCCGGCACCTTTACCGTCCCTCTCGCGTTGGGCGGAGAACACGTCGGTGGCTGTTTGTTTTCTAGGTCTCTCGCCTTCGCCTTCGTTCTGTTCTGCCACCAAAACTGTTTTGTTCTGCACTTCAAGGCTCCTCTGCTCCTTCCGGGAGATGGGGCAACGTCTCGGCTCCCACACGCCCCCTCACCTGATCCAGAGTTTGCTCCCGTTGAGGGTATAGTAGGAGCCGCAGGGACTGAGCTCAGCCCTGCTCCGGATCGAGGCTGCGTCGGAGCCGCTGGTGGTCTCGGTGAGGCAGAAGGCGGCGATGGTCTCCCCTGCGGAGGCAAAGTGGCACAGAGGGCATTCCCGGGGCCCGCTTCTAGCCCACCGTCCGGCCCAGCAGCTGGCAAGCTGCAGGCAAGAGAAGCGCGAGAGCCAGCGTGGTGTTGTGGGGAAGGCGCCAGACTAGAAACGGGGGTGCTGTGAGTTGTAGTCCTCCCTCAGGCACAAAAGCCGGCTGGGTGACTTGGGGCCAGCCGCTCGCTCTTAGCCCAACCCACCTCACAGGGTCGTGGGGGGAAAACTGGAGGTGCTGACTTGAGTTGCGCAAATGAAGTTGGGACGTAAATCTAGTAACAAACAAAATAAATAAATCTGCTCTATCCTCGGGATCCGGACACAGCCCTTTGCCGGCCACTTGGGAGAAACAGATGAGCAGGTCGTGCCAGACGAAATCCTGCCTTTCGGACGTTGCAAAGATCACATTTTTGGGGCCGGAGCCGCCTCCTGCTCCCTTTCGCTCCCCCTCCCCTAGCCCCCTGGCTGTGCCTCCCCGACACCCAGCCTACCTGCTGCCAACTTGGGCAGGTATTTCTCCTTCTGCTTGGGGGAGCCGTAGAGCAGAATTCCCTTGAAGCCAATGGACTGATGGGCGCCGAGGGTGATGCCCACTCCCAGGTCGTGCATGCCCACAATCTCAACTAACCGAGCGTACTGGGGAGCAGAGGGGGAGAGAGGCAGCGCGCAGGATCAGAAGCAGGGCCTCTGAACACGGGGAGGGCCCAGCGCAGGGCCGCCCCAGTTGGAAGGCCGATGGACGCTCCCGAGGTGCCCCGTCTGACCTCCGCCTGCAGCGGAGGAGAGTCGGCCCCACCACCCTCCGGAGGGCCGGGACTGACCTGGGTGTTGGTGAGCCCCAGCCCGCCCAGGGCGATGGGGATTTGCAGGCCGAAGGCCCCCAGCTCTTTCAGGCCTTGCATCGTATTCTCCTCCACCTGCTCCAGCTCGTCGTTCCGGGCCGGGTTGTTCACATCCTGCCGACGGGGGAAGAGAGCAGCGGGCAGTGCTTGGGGAGGCCCCTCCTCCCACCTGCCCCCAACCCAAAAGAGCCCTCCTTCGAAGCCTCACCTCAAAGAAGCGAGAGACGGGGCCCACCAGCTCCTGCAGAGTCTGGGACTGCTCCTCGTTCAGGACTGCAACAAAACCAGAGGAGTTATTCGGGGCAAGCCACTGGATGATTTGGGGTACAGGGAGTCCTCGACTTACAACTGTTAAGCGATCGTTCAAGTTGCAACAGTGCTGAAAAAAGTGACTTACAACCGGTCCTCGTGCTTATGGCCATCGTGGAGTCCCTATGGTCACGTGATCACAATTCAGGCACTTGGCAATTGGCATGCATTTATGACCGTTGCAGCATCCTGGGGTCACGTGATCACCATTGGCGACCTTCCCAGGGGGCTTCCGAGAAGCAAAGTCCGTGGGGGAAGCTGGATTTGCTTAACGACCACAGCAAAAAAGGTTGCAAAATCGGGCACAACTCTCTTAACGACCGGATCGCTTAGCAACAGACGTTCTGGTCCCAACTGTGGTTGTTGAAGACTGCCTGTAGCGTCAGCACCCTCCTGGGCTCCCCTGCCCCACCAAGCTGGGGGGCACCTGCTCCTTTCAGCTCAGCCTGCCCTCCCTGGGTCCACCCGTGCCCCGTGCAAACAGGCCTTGACTCCAAACAAACAAGCAGAAAAGGAGCTTTTTGTACAAAAGGGTCCACTTTTCAATCCATGGGCTGGACCAGGGAATCCTGTACACGCACACAGCGCCCCACACCCCCCCGGCCCTCTCTTCCATCCCACGCCCAGCCGCCCCTCTTTTACCTGAAGGATAAGGGAAGACTTGCTCCGTGATGATCTGGCCCTTGAAGATGCCCACCGCAAACGACTTTGTCTCCTGGATGTTGGTGGGAGCAAAGGCAAGAATAAGCGGGATTGGGCCAGCGACACCTTTGCGGCCCCGGGGACCTGGGCTGAAGTCCCAGCACCATCTGTTTCGGGGGGGGGGACCGGGAAGGGACGCAACCGCCTCTCTGCTAACGGCCCACGGCTCTCCCTGTGATCCGAGATTCCCCTCTCAAAAATCCAGTCCAGCAGCACCCAGGGCTCGGATCATGGCGCCAGGCCCACCATCGGGCAGACGTGGCCCCCACAGACTCCCCTGGTCCAATCTCTCTGCGGCCCTCCCCAACTCAATTAGGAAAGCGGGGCAGAGCTCACGGCTCCTGCTGTCGCTTTCCCCGGTTTTTCTGCTTTTGCCGTACTTCCACCGAGCTTTCAACAACCCTGCGGTGCTTTTATTTAAACTTATTTATTACTAGGATGGGCAGAGCCAAGCCAGCAACTTGCCGTCTGGGATCCCAACCCAGAGAGGCGTCGGTTGGCATTCACTTGACCTCAGAAACAGCCACCGCCCAAGCCGGAGGAGGTGGGAAGGGAAAAACAAGATTTGGGCCGGAAGAGACCAGGGCAGGTGCCCTTTAAAAGCTGTTGGGGGCCTTCGTTGGTCTATCCCCTTCCTCCCCTCCTCGCTCGGCCCCCACCAGCCCTTAGGATGTTTCTGGACCTTCCGTGACATCACGTGCACGCGGCCAATAGGAAAGCAGGAGCTTGCAAAGCTAGAAGGACATCTCCTTGCTCCCTCTGCCTCCCCTTAACCAAAGCCGGGTTCCCCTGCATCGGGGTTAACCCCCCAAATATTCTCTCCCCCCTCCAGGGAGGGAGGAAAGGGCACGTACCGCAGGCAGAGGCTTCTTTTCCGACTCATCTTGGGACGTCAGGTCCACCTTGGAACTGGCTTTTTCCGGGACGGGCTGCAAAAGAGGGACACAGCGTGACGTTCCCGGATCTCCACTGGGCGCTTCCCTCATCCCAGGCCTTCGGACGGAAGGCTGCGTAAAAGCGAATTTCGCTTGCTTCGTTTTTAGAGAAGCCAGGCGAGGTTGGGACTGACGGGCCGCAGCCGGGAGAGGAGACAGAGGCATGCCGGCCGTGGCGCGGCGCGCTGTGTAGCGCAACCAGCCTTTAATCCTGGCGAGACTCTCACACTGTTAATCTAGGACCGCCTCGCTCAGGCTGACGTGGTGACAGATTCCTGGGTCGCGTAATTGGAGCGTAAACCGCCCGCTTGTTACATTTATTTCACCTGTTTTTATCCCTCTGTGGTCTCCTGCCCTTAAGGATGGTGCACAAGAAAGAGGAAAGGTCAACCTGGCCCAGAAGCCGCCGTTCGGGGTCCGCAGGATGCACCCAATTACCAAGGAAGCCCGCGGCTTCAGATGCCGATGCCCCGTTGCAACGGCCAGGCTTCGGGGGGGGCTCAGGGGCCGCCCGTGGCCGGCCAACGCCTTCGCGACTTGCAAGCCCCCAGCTCGGAAGCGGTGGTCCTAAAGGGGGGCAGGTGGACGGGCGACTGCGGGAGCAGCGCCTCCAAGGC